AACTTCTACAGCCTAACCATGGTCTCTTCAAACACAATTTCTGATATTTGATTATTTTATTTATATATTGATACATATAATTTACAAGATTGCTATTTTTTTTTTCTTTAACCGCGGGTGTACGATTTAGTTTGTTGCATCTCGACTGATTCCATTAGACCCAAAAGATAAAAAGTTAACCACAAGGGTGGTGTCTGATTGGTTTGAGGTTGACTCCAAATGTCAAAAGTACCAGGAGGTCCCAGGTTCAAATCAAATGAGGAATAAAAATCCCCTTGTGGCCACGAAGGTTCAAATCCCGTGACTCCGGGCTATCTAGGTTAATAAAAAAAAAAGATAAAAAGTCGAGGAGAATCCCAATGACCTGAGAACATCTCCAAACGAATTCTCAAAAATAAAGAAAACGAGACTTCTTTTTCTTTTTAAAATAATTAATTATAATGAATGCTGAAACGAAAACAAATTCCCAATGACCTGAGAACATCTCCAAACGAATATTTGCAGCATATAAATATTATATTATATTATATTATATACTTCTAAAAAAGAATATAATGATGCAAACCTTTTGTCATTTATGTACTCGATTAAAATTTAGAAATGTACAATATCTCGTCCTAAATGGTCCTTGGATTGGTCCTCGAAGGTTCGATAATGAAAACCCAAAAAAGGGTCATGGTCCTTAGTCGGTCTGGCAAAACAAATTCAGCTCGATAAGGCTTAACTGGTCCTCCACGGACCCCATTTAGAACTTATTCAGTCAAACAAGTTCGACTGTTAGTGGTCTTGAATCAAGCCCACATCTCATCCTAAACCAGTCCTAAACCAGTCCTCAAAGTAATTGGTTCCTCCAATGAAAATAAAAATTGTAACTAAAATGGACCCTTTGGGTTTACGAGACTCATAACCTGTTTCAACCATTCTCGAGCTGATGCTTGATTCAAGTGTACATCTTACCATCTATCAAAAATACTGAAGAATTTATAGTTATGTGGTTGGTCATGCTTTAGCACAGGCATATATTTGCTCGTCTTGTCCCACTTCATATTTTGATATGTCAGTTTTTAAGTCATTCTAAGGGGCCGTTTACCAAACGCTTACTCGGGTAAGCGCTTACCAAGTCACATTACGTTACTGGATGAATATGGTAAGGACCAAGAATCTTACCCGGTAAGAGCGAAATAAGTATCAAAAGTCTTACCCAGTAAGTGAGTGCAACGACCCTTACCACGGTAAGTGCTTACCGGGTAAATTATTGTATACTATGTCGTTTTGGTGAACTAAAATCTTACCCGGTAAGTACATAATAGTGTTAAATTTTACCGGTAAGCACTTACCGGATAAGTGTTTGATAAACGGCCCCTAAGAGCAACTTTAGTTTGTTATTAAATTCTAGTAGATTATCTGTTTTTAACTTTTATGCAGAACTTCAGTTATTAAAATAGGTTAGATTTTTTAATACAACAGATAAAAGCTTATACTGAATTTAATTCGGTTGAAATACACACAATTGAAGTAATATTAGATTATCACTTCAACTAATTTGTAACCAGTTGTCTATCTGTATAATACAGCGAGATATATAATTTCATTTTCAACCAATAATGAAAATTAATGAAATTCTTCACTAAAAAATAAAATCCGAAAATTTGTGAAATATTCCGTCATATTAATAGGGTCAACCTTTATCCTGTATTCAAATATTTTATTAGTTGATTTTATGAATTTCAAACATGGAGTTTTAAGCAGTTGTGCATATATATTATATGAGTTGTAAACTTGAATTTTTGCAGATGGTGTTTTATTTAAAAGAGTAAGGGGCCGTGTACCTAAATACTTACCCGGTAAGCGTTTATCGGGAAATTTCAACTATCATTACTTACCGAGTAAGATTTGGGTCCACCAAAACGACATTATGTAATAATTTACCCGGTAAGCGCTAACTGTGGTAAGAGTCGTCATCATCACTTACCGGGTAAGACTCTTGGTCCTTGCCTTCGCTCTTACCGGGTAAGATTCTTGGTCTTTGTCATATTCATCCGGTAAGGTAATCTGATTTGATAAGACCTTACCCAAGTAAGCATTTGGTAAACGGCCTCTTAAAAGTTATGTTTTTCGCCCATGTGGTTTATTGAAGATTGTTATTTTTGTCATTGTACTTTTGATATTGCGATTTTCGTTCTGATGATTTACGATTAATTGTTTGTTTTCGTTTTCGTGGTTTATAATTTATTATTGTTTTTGTCGATCATATTTATCGGTAAATCAATTACGAAGTTAGCCTTATGAACGAAAACAACAATGAATTGCAAACTGCAGAGACAAAAACCGCAATTTTAACAACACGGGAAGGAAAAGTTGCAATTTTTAAAAAATCATAAGAATAAACGAACGAAATTCACTAAAGGATACTTTTGGCAAACTATCTCATATATGTATATGAAAAGCGTACGTGATAGTGTAATTGTTTACTGTATATATTAATAAAAATTCAACAATATCCAATAAATAAAAGGATATTAGGTTTATCGGGTTGAGTTGAGTTCAAACAATAGTAACCCAATATCATCCAAATACCTACGGTTTGAAAATGTTACAACTCGATTAGACATCAGGTTACTTCGGGTTGAGTTACTTCGCCTTAGATTGATCGGTTTATCGGGTTTTTGAGCACCCCTAATCTCTGGTGGCAAAGACCAAATACGGTCAAACTGACAAGCCACAATGACAACATTGGAATAAACAACTGTAAAGAACAAATCTGAAAAAACCAACCAAGCACAAGGTGCTTATGGGTTGGGTTGATCGGATTGAAGACATTTGAACAACACAACCCAATGCTTGCGGTTTGGAAAAATCTTAACCCAACCCAACCCGTACGGGTTGGTCGGGTTGATACTTTGGTATATTAAAATATTCTTCTAACTTTGAATATATTATTTCTCTACTCATAATTTATTTTTCATCATCAACCATTTGATACAACTTATTCTTATTTCTTACATATATCACATTCAGTTAATTTTCTCAATTTACATATATATGTTAACAGTTACTGAACATATATATGAATAGATTGAAAATATGTGTATATGAAAAGCATACATGATAATGTAATTATCTAATGTATATATTAACATAAATTCAATAATCATATTAAATCCAAGAAATTAAAGGATATCGGGTTCATCGGGTTGAGTTGGGTTCAAATAATAGTAACCCAATGTCAACCCAATATCTACGGTTTGACAATTTTACAACTCGTTTAGACATCAGGTTGCTTCGGGTTGGGTTATTTTTGCGTTTGGTTGGGTTGGATTGATCAGGTTGGTCGGGTTTTTGAGCACCCCTAAACACAAGGACCAAAATTATAACTTACTTTTGAAATAAGTTCAATTTTAAAATAAATTACATTTTTTCGTCCTTTGGCATATTTTAAATTTACCGTAGATTTATTCATGGTGTTTCCAAATTTTTTTATTTCACCCATCTCATTAATAACAAACGATTTCCGTCAACTAAAAGAAGGAATTTTTTAGTAAATGGTTGTTTATCAAACGTTTACCTGGGTAAGTGCTTATCAAGTTACATTATCTTACCGAAAGAATATGGCAAGAACCAAGAATCTTACCTGGTAAGAGTGTGCCAAGGACCGAGAGTCTTATCCGATAAGTGAGAACGATGACTCTTACCACGGTTAACACTTACCAGGTAAATTATTGTATCCAATGCCGTTTTGGTGGACTAAAATCTTACCGGGTAAGAAAGTGATAGTGTTGAATATTACCAGTAAGCGCTTATCGGGTAAGTGTTTTGTAAACTGCCCCTAAATTTACATGTAAAATTATTTCAGACTTTTTTTTATAATGGACCCGACAACCTTACACCTTATATCTCTTCTATATTCTCTGACTTCTCATGTAGTTGAGTCCTGCCGACACTACTCCCCTATGCTCTTTGTTCGAGAAGCTCCCCAACTCGTCGTTGCACTTCCCGCAACTCATGTATGATGGCTAAAACGCTCTCACTTTACCCCTTCCCTTCACTCCGTCACCCGTATCTTATGTGTACGTGTGTGCATCATAACGAAATCATTCACATATTTAGAGTAAATTTAGGTCCAAAATATATTACTTATAAATTGATCAAAACGTCACTCGTTTAAATGGAGTTAACGGAAAACTTATTACTTGTTAGTGGAAATAATAGAATCTAAGAAATTTGCGAAGAGGGATAAATTTATAATAAAAGAATTTAGGGATGTATTCGGTTAAAACTAAAATATGTTAAGGACTATAATTGTCATTTACTCTAAATTTTATTATATATAATTTCATAAATAGACTTGGGATCATGTGAGATATAAGGTTTTTCGTGAGACCCGTAAGACTAATTCTCAACATTTAAATTAAATTTACAATCTGAACATTTATAATCACAAAATTGCTATGAGACTTCTCAATAATCACAACATTGCTAACGTACAAGTTTAGACCATAGATCATTAACTTATAAAGTTGATCAATGAATATAAATTGGTCTTACGGGTCTCACGTGAACCCAACCCTTCATAAATAACTAATATACCAAGTATAGTTATTTAACGTAATCAAATGTTCATCTTTTCTTATCATGTATCAAGTTTACCAGATAGACTTGGGATCATGTGAGACCAAGAGTTTTTCGTGAGACCCGTAAAACCAATTCTCAACTATTTTTGGATTAGATATACAATCTGAACATTTATAATTACAAAATTACACGAGACTTCTCAATAATCACAAAATTGCCACCGTGAAACTTTAGACCATTAGATCATTAACTTATAAAATTGATCAATAAACATAAATTATTCTTATGGATCTCACGAAAAACCTTTATTCTTACGTAAACTCAACCCTTACTAGTGAAATAGATTTGACCTTAATATAACCATATTTCATATATTATTAATATTATTTATTAATAAATTGTTTTTACAAGTAATCCCCAAACCATATAACTCTCAGCACTGTGAACAACACTACTTTCGGTAGAGAAGAACCTCCGGCGGGCTATGGCGATCTTCACCACCAGGCGTACCCTAAACTCTCTTTTCTCTCGCCTCCTATCATCATCATCATCTTCAATCTCTTCCCGTTCTCGATTTGCTCTCCCACTTCTCGACCACCACTATCAATCTCCCCAACTCGCTCCTCGGATTCCTGTTCGACTCAAAACTTCCGGATCGGGTTATTCGCCTTTGAACGATCCTTCACCGAACTGGAGCAACCGTCCGCCAAAGGAGACAATTTTGCTTGATGGCTGCGATTATGAGCATTGGCTTATAGTTATGGAGTTCCCCACCGACCCTAAACCCTCCGAAGATGAAATGATCAATTCTTACGTCAAAACCCTAGCTTCTGTTCTTGGAAGGTATCACCCACCGATATATGTTTTTATCATATCATAATTTATGCTTGATTTTCCTGTGTTTCTTGAAAGTTCTACGTCTTTGAATCGTTTTATCTGTCTCGGTGAAAAACCCTAAATGTCACTACTTTTATAGTGCTTGCTTGTTTTCATAATTCTTTCCCCAAATAATATCATATAAAAATATTTATATCTGCTTACAAACTTACTGGAACACTTTTAGACAGTCATGAAAACTTATTATTTAGATAGGCCTGTAAACTTATTGTAACACGTTGAATGCACAGTATTTTTGAAGGTGAAATACAATGGTTGTTATTAGAACTTACCTTCATTGTATTAGGGGCAGACCTGCTATGGTGCATATGGTGGCATTAACCACCGCTTCGTTCCTCCGTCGTACTTGTAGTGTAAAAGGTTAGGGTCATGAAACGTGCCACCGTATTATTTTGTTGGATGGAACTGTAGATTCCTTGAAACTACAATAATGACACAAGTTTTTCTTGGTAGAGTTGGTTTGCACGGTCTTTTCTCTCCTTCCAGATGCGTTTTCAAATCCCATTTGTATCATTTTTAGTTTTTAGTTTCAGGTTTATTATGTTTCTGAAAAAATTAGGGATAAAAGATCCAAGGACCTCACATACAAAAAGCAAGAAACTAACCAAATGATCGATGATGATTTTGTAAAAGATATTAATAGCTTTGTTTTTTAGTCAAATGGTGCCACCACTTGAAAAACCATCTAGGTCTGCCTCTGCATTGTAGCATTCTATGTGTACCGAAATGTGTGCTAATTTCTCGACATTTGTGCTAGATTATAATGTGTGCATTACTGCATTAAGAGTGGATCTGTAACATGATTTTTGTATGAAACGTTTTCTTTGTTTGGTGGTCTTCAGTGAGGAGGAAGCAAAGAAGAAGATATACTCTGTTTCAACGACAACTTATACCGGATTTGGTGCTTTGATATCTGAGGAGCTATCGTATAAAGTCAAAGGTTTAATAAATCTTGAAATCTATGTTTATCTATTTTTTGTTATCATGGCTACGTACTTGTAAAGTAGAAAATCGACAAAGATGGCTTAAGTTCACAAAACTTGCTTAATTTGCAGCACACACCCAGACACACACATGAACAACTTCCAACCCGTGTTGTTGCTGCTCAATAAAATGAAATTCCACCATGGCTTGTATACTAGTATCTTTAGGGCCTGTTTGATTTGACGGGATGTTTTTGAGGAATCTGAATTTCATGGAATGATTTGGAATTGGAAGGATTTAAAATCTTTGTTGTGTTTGGTTTATAGGATTCGAAAGAAATTGAATTCCATTTTTTATATATAATTTATAAAAATGATTAAATTATCTTTCATTAATTGATTATTACAAATTGAATGTTTTTAACATATTTTAAAACATTATTTACAAACAAATCCTATCAAATTCCGTGAACTACCGACTGCCCTCATGGGATTTCTAAATCCAATATTTGTTGGATTTCATTGAAATTCCAGGATTTCAATTATGGATTTTCCTTTAAACCAAAAGTGGGATTGGAATGGAATTCAATTTCAAATCCCTCCAAATCCCACAAACCAGACGGGCCCTTAGAGAACAAAAGTAATGGATCAGCTACCATGGCATAATCAGTTAGAAATGGACCTATAATTGTTATGCATTAATGGTATAACCACCATAGAAATAAGGGGGCATTTGGTTTGATGGAATGGTTTTGGGGGATTTAGATGTTGTGGAAGGGTTTGGAATTGGAGGGATTTGGATTTGGATTTGGAATCTTTGGTGTGTTTGGTTTGTAGGATTTGGAGTGGAATTGAATCTCATTATTTATAAATAATTTATAAAAATTAATTAAGTTACCTTTTTATTAATTGATTATTACAAAATAAATGTTTTAAACATATTTTAGAACATTATTATATTCAAATCCTACGAAATCCCATGAAACACCAACCACCTCCATGGGATTCCATGGGATTCCAAAATCCTATGTTTGTGGGATTTCAATGAAATCCTTGGATTTCAAATCCATGAAATCCGTCAAACCAAACATGGGATTAGATTGGAATTCAACTACAAGCCCCTCCAAATCCATTTCAATTCTACAACCTTTAAGGGGGTGTTTGGTTCACATAATGAAATTTGATGGAATTGGAATCCATCAAAAGAATTTGACTTGGAATGAATTGGAATAGAATTTGACTACGCATTTGGTTGGTAGGAATTTGAATGAAATTTCTCAATAGAATTGGAACAATCGTCTTTGTTCGAAATATCTCACCCGTCGGCCCGCCCACACCCTGCCAACCACCATGTTACAATAGTCGTCATCACAGCTATCACCCCTACCCAAACCCCGCCCCCACCATTCATGCCCCACCTTTGCTCCATAGGTAGGGGTTGTTGAGGGCAGGATGGGGCGAGGCGGTGGGGGTGGGGCCAAAGTGGGGCAATGGGTGGCTGTGACGACTACAGTGGTAGGGTGGTGGTTAGTGGTGGGTTAGAGTAGGGTAAGGTGGGACGGGGCAAGACGGTGGGTAGTTGTAGGTGGTGGGATGGTAGCTNGTCGGGTGGTTGGGGCGTGTGTGGGTATGACGATAACAATAGTGGCATGGTGTTTAATGGTGGGTTGGGATACGGTGGGGTGCAGGTGTTTGGCGGTTGTGAGGGCTACAATAGTGGTGTGGGGATGGATGGTAGATGTGACGACGACAGTGGTGGAATGGTGGTCGAGTGGCTGGGAGGGGGTGGCTATGACGGCGACAATAGTGGCATGGTGGTTAGTGGTGGGTTTGGGTGGGGTGGGGGTGAGTGGCAGTTGTGACAATGACAATAATGGTGTGGTGGTGGGGGTTAGGTTAGGGGTGTGACAATACGGTAGTAGCATGATCGTAGTAGGGATGTGCAGTCAATAACCGGGGGGTGGGTGGGTGTGATGACAACAATAGTGGCATGATGGTTAGTGGTGGGGTAGGGTGGGTGAGGGCGACAGTAGTGGTGTGGTGTTGGTGGTGGGGGTTAGGGGTGGGGCATGACGAACAATAGTAGCGTGGTCGTGGTGGGTGGTGATGTAATTCAATTCCTTCCATTATGTCAAGGAATAATGAATTCATTAATTCGTGGAATTCAATGGAATTTGAAGGATTACATCCATTTCAAGAAATGAACCAAACAAAGGAATTAGAATTTGGTCAAAGGAATTTGTCATTCCAATTCCATCAAATTTCTTCCAATTTCACGAACCAAACGGCTCCTAAGGGTTTTTAATGGTTGTAAAAGTTTCTTAATCATGTTGTTTTTGTGGTAATAATACTCCCTCCATTCCAAGATTATGCTACTATGTACAATTGGAATGAAAATATGAAATCCCTTTGGCATTCGTAACTTTAAGGATATTAGTTAGAAACTTAAGGGCTGTAATACCAGCTTATCGCCTCTTACCAGTAAGAAGCGGTTACCTGGTCAGAGATGTCGCTGTTTACCAAGCCCTCTAACCGGTCCATGATGCTGAACCTGGTAAGCTAAGAGAGGGATTCTTACTTGGTCGATGATTGGTGCTGATCTCGACTGCACTCTTACCGGATTGGCACTCACGCAATTTGGGTTGGTATACGGCCGCCTTAGCATAGGTTCTTTCGACGTTCTCTCTAACAATGTGAGTGAGAAGAACATGGAGAAAATACGAGTGGACGTTAGTGAGAGCTCCACCTTTAATGTGTTTTGGTAGGTTCATCTTGAACGCCTACCACATTAGCAATAAAAACCAGACCGAACGAACCCCCAATGAATCCCACATGGAGCAGGGTCTAGGAAGGGTAGGATGTATGCAGACCTTAGTCACGAATTCGGTTTGCTATATTAATTGAATCCTAAACATATTGGTTCTCATCTTCTACAAAAAATGCTTCAGCAAAAAGGACTAAACAACTTTTCCTTTCAAGCAGGTCTACCTGGCGTTCTTTGGGTTTTGCCCGATTCATATCTTGATGTTCCCAACAAAGATTACGGAGGTTTGTATGGATCGTACATGATTTTCAATTACACTTTCACCGTTTTACATTTTTTTTGTTAACAATGGATGTCTGGGCCAGTTTGCATGCATCTTAACTAATACAATGGGCCCAGAAAATAATAGTCGGGAAAATCCTCAGTGGCGAAGTCTAACCTTTATTTGTCGGTTGAACTTTATTTCATCTGTAATCGGCATACACGTGTGTCCAATGCTTTTACTTATCTTTGTTTGTAGGAGATCTGTTTATTGATGGGAAAGTCATACCGCGGCCTCAGTACAGGTTCACCGATAGGCAACAAAACAGTAGGCCACGTGCAAGACCTCGATACGACAAACGTCGTGAAACAATGCAGACTATACGTAGAGTGCCAAATGAAGGACAGAATTGGGTCAGGGATCAGAGAGACGCTGTCACGCAACCAACGGCAGGTGGAGGGTTCCCCCAAAACCAAGACGGTTCGCAACGGTCGAGCAGCTGATGGTCCATGAGCCACTGGCATGTTCAGATAATTTAGATAAGTTCAGTAAGTGAATCTTTTTAGTGATGTTTGCTTGTTTTGCATATGGCGAATCCACATTATAGATGTAATGAAGAACTTTATTTATATTTTGGTTGTAATTACTCGTGAATTACCCGTGCTCGTAATCCAACCTCATGCAATTCGGTTTTAAACGGGGAATGTATTGGCTAAAGGACCCGAAGTGGCTGGGCCTGGTTAGGGATTGTGACCAGGTAGCCTGGTTACAAGGACCATTTATAACTGGTAGGCCTAACATATGGTCTAATCCTTGATAACGTAAGTGGAGGGCAGGGCCGTGCAAAACCCAAACCCGAATAAGGTGTTTGAAATCTATAATTGTTGCTACAATTTACGCACTCCTCTAATTTTCACTTGAAATATCATAAAACGTTTCTTTTTCATAACTTAAAATGAGATTTCAATTAAATTTGTTACAAAACTAACATCGTGATTTTATCATCTTATATGAGATTTCAGTTAGAACCGTGACTTCTAATTAAACAAACTACTAACATTAGTCAAACATTTGTAGAATACTTTGTAACACCGTTCTTGAGCATAGTTAGATAACTAAAATTAACATATGGTTCTAAAATTGTTGTCAACTTCTCTTGAAAACTTTTAATGTTAATAGTAGTTGCCACACACATTTGCCTAAGTTTTTTTTAGAAGTGGACTTCAAATTTTAATTTATAACATTTCTTTTGAAGATGATATTATGACTACCGTGCAACATGCGGTTAAAACACTAGTATATTATATTAGTTGTCTTGGGTACTGAACATGTGACTTACAAAGTTTAAGGGATAAAAGTGTTCTTTAAGCAATAGTTAAGGGGCCATTTATGCATTTTTCTAAATTAGAACTTTCAGACCAAAACGCCTCTTTCGGCCAACCGAGGATCCAATGATCCATTTCTGTTCAAATCTTAGCTGGAATCCCCGGTGATCTTTTATCCCCAACCAAAATTCCGTCGGAACACGGCGACGACGACGGCGTCAAGTGGTACGACGTGAGGTACGCTCTGTGTTGATCCAGATCTCATTCATTTTTCTCCGTTCTGTTTGTTTCATATTCTTTTGTATCATCAAATCATTTCTGGAGATTTAAAAATCCAGATTCGGTAATATTGAAGAAAATAACGAGAAACCTTAACTATGAATTCGAACTATGGAAGATCAAGTCAATCTGGATCTCTCAACAACTTCGATTTTGATCTCGGAATCAATTCGAATCGTTCCAAGCCTCTTAATGCACAGAAAAACAACACCTTCACGCAACCTAAGCCTAACACGACGACGACGCCGTCTTGGCAACCCAACAAACCCTCTTGGACCCACCAACCCGCCGCACCTACCCCGTCGTCCACTCTGGGCGGGCCATTAAACGGACCTACATCCATGGTGGGAGATATTACGGGGAAGAGTTGGGCTTCGACTGCACCACAGCGTCCTTCTGGCACTGCAGCTACGAATATTGGGATTGCAAATAAAAGCCCTAATTTGTTTAGTGATTTGCTTGGATCAAATTTGGGGACAGGCAAGGGTAACAGTAGTAATGTTCCTTTAAAGAATGCTGCACCCGTTTCATCACAAACAGCTAGCAAAAGCGCCTATTCAATGGGAGGTATGTCTGATTCATTGCCAAAATCTGGTAATACGGTGAACAGTGGTGGTGGTAATTGGGGTTCTTCACAAGGTTTTGGGAATTATAATACAAGTGGTTATGGAAGTAAGAATCAAAATCTTGGAGGTCCGTCAATGAAAAGTTCAACTGCCAGTGGTATTGGAGGTGGCATGGGTTCTAACAAGGACCCCTTTGGATCCTTAGTTGATTTTAGCTCTAAGCCAGCTACTGGCTTGAAAGCAGTTAAAACGAATGTGTCATCCAAATCAGGGGATGATGTGTTTGGTAGCTTCCAAAATGCATCAAAACCTAGCACAAATGCTTTCCCAAGTACCACTAGCTTCACAGGTTTAGGCATGAATTCTCAATCGAAAGTGGATGATTTTGGTTTTGGTGGTATGCAAAATCAGCCATCAGTTCAATCATCAGGAGGCAATGTTTTCCAAAGTAACACGAGTTCCATGGGTTCAGGCATGAATTCTCAATCAAAAGTGGATGATTTTGGTTTTGGTGGTATGAAAAATCCTCCACCAGTTCAATCATCCGGAGGGAATGATTTTGATGTGCTATTCTCTTCATCTTCAGCTTCCGCTGGTAATGCTTCAAAGGATTCAGAAAACTTCATGAGCCAGCAATTTGCAGGGGCTGAGGATTGGGGTTTCGAGTCTGAGGTTGGAGGAGATGTGGGTGGAACGACTGAGCTTGAAGGGCTTCCTCCACCGCCCGCTGGTGTGACAGCTTCGTCTGCAAAGATGAAGGGAATGGAAAATTATAAAGCAGGGCAATATCCTGATGCCATAAAATGGCTGTCTTGGGCTGTAATTCTGGCGGAAAGGGCAGGTGATAACGCTAGCTCTATGGAAGTGTTGTCACCCAGGGCTTCATGTTACAAAGAAGTAGGGGAATACAAAAAGGCAGTTGCTGATTGTTCAAAGGTACACTTTCCGTTGCTCTTTGTCAAACTTGTTATCATTTATTTATTAACTAAATCTTGTATTTTAGTCTCTTGTGGCATCAGCTTGAAGTATAAAGTCTTTTCTAAGAGAGATGCATATTATATAAAGGCGCTAACTCATAAAGTTTACCGATACAATGGCCTTTAGTAGTGGGCTTTTAGTACTAATGTAGACCTTGGCTCTACTGATTCTTCATAAATATCCTTATTGAAACAACATATAGTGTAGAACTTCTTATTTGCGAGAGCTCACTCATAACTCTCCTGGTACTACTTCATCATATGCTTCCTCTAGATCAATAACACCAAAAGCGTATATTATTGTCTTCTATATCTCGTTAGGATACAATTTATAGTACCACCAAATTTTGTTTTATAGGGGGATCTTCTTGGAAACAGCCTTTATACCCTTAAGGGGTGGAGGTATGGTCTGCGTACATCATGCCCTCCCCAGGCCCTACCTCGTGATGGGATATAATGGGTACATATGGTTTGGTTTTTGGAATTAAACCAATTTAATATTTTACTACCCATGTCTTGACCTTTTTAACCTATGATCCATAACATGTTACCTTGGTTTCAATGTATTTGCATCGGATCTCCAAACCTCCATGTAGATATTATCATGTAGACTTTTATCTATTTTCATCTTCCTAGAGTTTCACCTTGTCTAACGTGTTTAATTCCTAATCATAATCAATATTCAATAAATAGTGATTCAAGAGCAACAAGTACTTTTAGATAGTGATTCAAGAGGAGATCTCGGTTTAATGTGCCCTTTGCCTGATTGCACACACTTTCACCTATAGCTTGCTCTCTTGTTTCTTTTAGTTTATGGTTTTACAAGCCGGGGTCTTCATGGGAAGTTGGAACAACTTAAACTACCCGCTGGGATAGAGGAAAGGTGTGTGTACATCCTACCTACGGACCCCACATGTGTGTGGGATTTCCTATGTTTGTTTGTTAGGGTTCCCAGCGGTTTGCTTTCTCTTACATTTTGAAATTGGCACATTTTACAGAAGAAAGAAAACGCTTCTAACTTATGGGAAGGAAAAGTGAGCCTTCTCACTTCGGTTTATTTGGTTTGGTTTTGTCACTTTACCACATGAGTTGGGTTCGTAAAGCATTTACTCCATCCTTTTTGTAGTATATTTTATATACAACAAAACTCACACACTCGTCACCATCAAGAAGGTTGGGATCTATCGGTAGCCCATAGTATCATTGGACTAATTCAGAGATATGATAAAATATGCAAAAAAGACCCAACATCTTACATGTGTTAGAAATAGTGAAATATTATCTTGAACCACATTTCTTTTCCCATTAACTACCATAAGATTTACTCCATCAAGCGTCTTATTCGACTTACGTTTGTTGTTCTGTGTAGGTGCTAGAGCAAGACAGCAAAAACGTTCCTGTTCTTGTACAACGTGCACTATTGTACGAAAGCATGGAGAAATACAAGCTTGGAGCCGATGACCTGAGAACGGTGATGAACATTGATCCTGGAAACCGGGTTGCAAGAAGCACCATACACCGCCTGAGTAAAATGGCCAGCTGAACAAGAATTTAAAATGAGTATCATTGTCACCACGTACCCTTTTCTTTAATTCGTGTTCGAGATATTATACTCCCTTTAATATCAAATTAACGGGTAATAATCGTCGGAAAAAAGTAATTTGTTGCCTTTGGGGTTTTACAAGAGTGTTGTATTCATCATAGTTGGTTGTTTCCTTATGTCTTCTTTCCTTGTATTGACTGTAAAAATGACATGTTCATGCAACTTGTTTGTCTTTTGATATATACATCCTTAACAACTACTCTTTTATGGTTTTCTTCGGTTTATCAGATCGGATTTGGAATTCAGTTCCATTTCAATCTCATGTTTGGTTTGAAGGATTGCTTGGATTTGAAATCCGACAATTCTCGTAGGATTTGTTTGTAATGAATTTTTAAAAATATGCAGATATTTATTTTTGTTTTGTAATTAATCAATTAATAAAAAGGTAATTTAATTATTTTTATAAATTATTTATAACGGATTGAATTCAAGCTCATTCTAAATCTTACAACCAAAACATTAAAGATTTTAAATCCTTCCAAATTCGAATTGCTCCAATTCCAAATTCTTTCATGAAATTTAAAATGGCGTTTGGTTCGCAGAATGTTTTTGGATGGAATGAAATATGTTRAAGGAATTTGACTTTGAAGGAATTTGAATGGAATGTTGTCAGGTTTGACCACATGTTTGGTTGGCAGGCATTTGAATGGAGTTTGTTAAGGAATTAGGATCTGTCTGTTTGGTTCACTGAATATAGTTTTAGAATTTGAATAAATATTGGTAAATGACCAAAATGCCTTTTTTGAAAATTTTAATTTTTTAAAACTAAAAATACTTTAATAAAATAATTATATAATATGTAAAACAATAGAAAATACACAACCCAAATATAAGCATAAGCCAAACGACGTTATTAAATCAACGGTGGTTGGCGGTGGTGGTCCGCAGTGGTTCAGATGGAGGTGGTCAGCGGTGGTTCAGATAGGCGGTGGCGGCGATGGTTGTTCAAATAGGTGGTGGTCGCCCGACGGTGATTCAGATCGATGGTAATCGTCGGTGGTTGGCAGTGATATAGATCGATGGTGGTCTGTTTTGTCGGATGTAGTTCAGATCGACGATGGATCAGATCGGTGATGGTCAATGGTGGTTTAGATCGGGCGTGCTTCAGATCTGTACTAGTTGGCAGTGGTTCAGATCGATGGTGGTCCGTGGTGGTCGACGGTGATTCAGATCGATAGTGGTCGAAGGTGGTCGACGGTGGTCATATTGAGTTTTATGATATTAAAGTATATTAGGTTAAGAACATATTTGGTATAATGAAGATAGAGATTTCATTCCATCAAAATACCATGTAGTTGCTAAGTAATGTTAAATTTCTTTATTTGTGGAATTGGTAAGATTTTGAAGATTCCTTTCGTGAAAAAGAATGAACCAAACGAGGGAATTAAATTTGGTCAATGGAATTCAACATTCCAATTCCATCAGATTCCTCCAGAATCTGCGAACCAAACGCCATACTACTAAACGAACTATATCTGATTATTAGGCTCATTTACCAATTTTACATTTTCTGGTCAAAATAAATGTCAATTTTAAAAAAAATAGTAAAGTAAAAAGTATAAATATTTAAGAGCCGATAAGATAAATACATTAAGGGTAAAGTTGTCATTTGCTCAACTAAAAAGTATAAAATTATTCATGTCTAAAATGATGTTACTTCCGTTGTTGTCTTTGTCGCTCTTTTGTTAGTATATTTTCCTTGCAACTTTCGAAAAACATGAGACCTGTAAATGTAGGTTGCTTACCAACAAAATTCACCTTCCTTATTTTATCGGGTAACATTCTTGATCATTGAAATAGATTGTAGGTAAATATCTTTTACTGGGTAAAATGCTTACCGAATAAGAGTCTTCTCCCTCATTTACCGTAAAGATTCCTGGTTCTTCCTATGCCTCTTACCGGATAAGATTCTAGATTCTTGTTACACTCACTGGTAAGATACATGAAATCTGGTAAGTGTTTACACGGTAAACATTTGGTAAACAGTGTCTAGGTAAATCTAGGGCAACCCTCCAACTTTTCTGAAAGTGTTTTTATTGACCAAAACAGTGTTTTGTTATCACAGATCTCTATTCATGCTCGAGAGCTTGTAGTTCTTAAAACTGATTGGCAAGTGATACGCGTTGGATGTCGTTTCGTAGTGTGAACTCTTGAAAAACGGCAAACAATTAGTGTCACTTCTAGCAACCCAAGCAAGAATTGTGTTTTATGTCATCGTTTTCCAACTCGAAAAGTCAATTTTATTAGTTCAAACCTATTTAGACATTTTTCGCAGATCCTCGTTCGAAGCACATGGAGTTGATGTGATTTATGCACATTCAATATTTCGGTGTTTGTATTTGTTAGAGAATTTTGTATCATATTTACTACAGAATAATTACTATTTTTCATACAAAATTAAATACGTCTTATTTTTATATGAAATCATCGTAATATCTTAAAAGGCAATTTGCAAAAATTCAAGTAAATGTGTTTTTTTGAAAAATATAAAAGTAAATGATATAAAATAAATTAATTAAGTAATTATAGGGGTATATATAGCAATTTTAAATTTAAAAGTAAATAAGTTTGACCAAGTTGAATTGTTTGTGAGGAGAGTAGGAGGTATGTTTGACTAGGGATGCTAATTGCAACCCCTATCTTTTGCTAAGTACATCTAAGGGTGTTTGTGGTCCGGTTTGTGCGATTTAACTTCTCAGACCACAAACCAAACCGGAATGACGGTTTGTAAAAATTTTAAACCGAACGGTTTGACATCAAGTGTCCAGACCGGTTAAACCAGACCACGAAAAGACAGTCTGGTCTGACCGGTTTAGGCCTTTAATGGACTTTAAATATTAAACTTAAAAAACATATATAATTTAGAATTTTAGATTAAATATTCATTTTAACAAAACAAAATATCCAAAAAAATAAATGTAATAATTAAACATCTATTGAGTCCAAACTCCAAGCAATCCAAACTCCAAGCAAATAAATATATAATACATATTAGAAAACAAACAAATTAACAAATTTACAACTCCACTATGAGTATTGAGTAACAAAATCCACGAATTCACAACCTTCAATTATTGACCTAACAAAATATAAGGCAAATATAGTTGGTTGAATCACTTGGTTGATGTCTTGACGATGTGTGCAAAAATCAAACCATGGATTAGGAAAGATCGATAGATTGATAGAGTTCTTGAGGGATTTCAAAATTTGGAGACTGTCAATGTCAAATGTGTCGATATGTTTATTGGTTTAGAGATTTTAGGCGGTGATTCATTTGAATTTGATTATGTTAGATGTTAGGCTTTATGTTGGGCTTATGATATATTTGGTTCATAGCCCATAAGTTAAAAAAATTGAGCTTGATAATGCTAAAATAAATAAATATGTATTTGGCGATCGGTTTAGTCCAAACCGCCCAAAAAAGGTTCCAGACCGCAAACCGGACCGGACCGTCCAGTTTTGCTATTTTTCAAACAAGATCAAACCGCCAGGCGCTCAAACCTTCAAAAACGATCCGATTTGAACGATCCAACGATTTTTTTAAACACCACTAAGTACACCCAAGGATATATTCTAATCATTTGGTTTTCCTTTTCCTTTTTTATCTTCTTTTTTCTTTTTGTTTATTTGCCTTTTTTACTTTTGTAATAAAAAAAATTAAAAAAACCCAACGAATTATTATTTTGAATTATTAAGTTTTTGAATTAGTTTTTTTAATAAAAAAAATCCATTTTAAGTAATTAAGTTCCTGAACTATTTTGAAAAAATCATTATTTTTTTTTTATTTTGATTGATTAATTTCCTGGACATTTTTTAATATATAAACTATCGCTCTTTTAAAAATTGGTTATCCACATCATTTTAACTCAAAAAAAAAATTACACTAACCGACTAATAAAAGTTCAACGGTATATTTATATTAAAAAAAAATCAAAGTCTTAGGGGGTGTTTGGGATTGCTTATAAAAGCTGTTTTTTAACTTATTTCAGTCTGACACTGATGATAAACTGTTTTCTAGTGTTTGGATAAGAAAAAAAACTGCTTATACCGGTGCCAAACTGGTAAAAAATTGTTTTTGATAAGTTAATCCTTCCTGACTTGTGAAAAACTGTTTATTACCAGTTTACAAATTTAACTCTGTTTTATTTAACTCCGGTTTAATACCACATAAGTTAATAAGCACTTTTACAAAAAAACATAAGTTGTTTTAAATAAACAATTCCAAACACCCCCTTAATCATTCAAAATGTGAAAATTTAATAATTTTTTTCATCCAAAAAACCACATTAACCAACTAATAAAAGTTTGATGGATTATTTATTTATTTTTAAAAATAAATTAAGGTCTTAATCAGTTAAGATGTGAAAGTTTAACTGTTTTTTCATTAAAAAACAGTTTATGGACTTAATCATTTAAAATAAGAAAATTTAATTGTTTTTTCTTTCAAAAAAATAGTTCGGAGACTAAGAAGCCGTTTACCAAACGCTTACTTGGATAAACACTTACCAAGTAACATTATCTTACCGGATAAATATGGTAAGGATTAAGAATCTTACCGGATAAGAGCGAGACAAGGACCAAAAGTCTTACCCGGTAAGTGAGGACGACGACTTTTACCACGGTAAGCGTTTACCGGGTAAATTATTGCATGCAATGTCATTTTGGTAGACCAAAATCTTACCCAATAAGTAAATAATATTATTAAATTTTACCGATAAACACTTATCGGGTAAGTGTTTAGTAAACGGCCCCTAAATCATTCAAAATGAGAAAGTTTGTTATGTTTTCTTAAACTTTTCCGTTTATAATATCGTATTCTTATTATTACTTTACATTTTCATATATTTTATTTTAGTAAATATGATATTCTTCTTATAATTATTTTTTATTTAGCGTAAATAAATTATTATTATTGAAAATCATATAAACTGTAAAAAAATTAAAAAGTGTAAATAATGAGATCAAAGAATAATTACTTTTTACATTTACTAGTTTTATTTTTTTAACTGTTATTATTTTATTTTTTGTTCTATGAAGTATTACTTACAAACATAAAAATGTAATTATATAAATAAAATATAAATTAATTATATTATATCTTAATTATTTGAATCACATAGATTCATATATGAATCTATTTGTCATCTATTTGTAAAAATTACGAAACTATCATATCTATTTGCAATTATTACTATTCAAAAC